TATACATATCATGTCGACATGGCGAGATAGATTATCTTGACAAGTCGACATACTAAAAATGTTTTGTTGTCATGACGAGATAGGTTATCTTGACAAGTCGACGTAATAAAAGTTGTATGTTGTCATGGTGAGAAAAATTATCTTGACAAGTCGACATAATAAAAGTTATGTTGTCATGACAAGATACAATTTGTATTATGTCGACTTTTACTATGTCGACTTGCCAAGATAATCTATCTCGCCATGACAACATCATCAACAACATTTTCAGTCTGTACACCTAGGAATATGTTACTACAGTATTGTGATGCAATGAGACAAGAAACTTTTCTTCTACTGTAGTGTAGATCCTCAAAAATTGGATTTTTATATATATTTTTTTCTATTCTCTCCATAAAATAATTCACCACATTGTCATTTTAAAATGGTACTGGTATTTCCATACAAGAGTTCTGAAAAAGCATTTCCTTCATGAATAATGCCAGTTCTGCTTCTTTTTAAGTGGAACAAAGCTTTAATAGTAGATGGGAAAAGTGTAATCCCCTAGCATTATATTCTCAATAACTATAGGCCACTTACATTCCTTTTTATGGAATTATTTGTCTCAATCATTATTGACATGTTACATAATTGATTTGGATATTTAATTATTACCTCATTTTCTAGTTTAAGAAAAGGAAATTTCTCCAACACGTCTTTCACAGAGTGCTCGGCAATATATTTTAAACGATATTCCTTTGTACGCTCTAGTTTATCGACCATAAGGTTCTGGTCTGGGTTACACTTCTTTGAAAGGTCCATTAAATCTGTTACATGCTTGATGCTGGCTTGGTTTTCTCCTGACATATTATCCTAAGATGCCAAATAGGGAAAATATCATCTCAAAAATTCAAAGATGCACTGTCACTTCGACAATCGGAAAAAACATTTACCATGACACACACATACTAAAACTCAATATTCAAACAATTACAGCCATTTGAGTATGAGAATTCTTACATTTGCTTTTAGCAATTTTATTGTTTATTGTATTTAATATTGTTATATTATAATATCTATTGTGGTTTACGATATGTTTCATCTTTAAGGTGATTACATTATGTGTACATAGTACAGTAATTTTTTAATTCGATTTTTTATGATTTTACAATTTTCTAAGGGACAGTGCCACTTTAAAGGTTCAGTTCTGTGCTGTATTTGTGCCAGTATATGATTTTTACCTGAAAATAAGGTGATTGGGATGAAGTAGATAGGCCTTATACCATATTTTACATTATCAATGTAATCTTATACCTTAAATCTACTTTTTGTACCAATTGTATGTGCTTTCCCAAAAAGCTATAAGCTGATTGGGCTGATTGTATGTTATTATTATTATTATTATTATTATTATTGTTATTATTATTATTATTATTATGTTGTAATGATGTTGTTTGTACTGTTCTTTGATTTTATTAAAGAGGGCCCCTGAATATCAGTTAACCTACTGGGCTAAACTGGAAGGGT